CTCTATAAAATATGTTTCCATAACCCAGCAGGTATCTTTTCATTGACTTCAATGGGTTTGGTATTAAACCCAGGTAGCCCATGTATCAACTACCAGGGATTGCTCACCTCAGGCAACAGTCAGGACTTCGAGTAGTGCAGTTACAACGAGTCAGTCTGAGCTGTGACACTGATGTGTCCTTGTGTATCTAATTGTGCACTCAGTGAGTTGCATCATTTTGCTGACAAGTGAAATGTGCTGCTCTCCCATCGAGTTTTGGGTGCATTCTGTTCCCAGGTGGGTTTCTCAAGGATTGCCCCCAGATGAGCTGTCTGTCCAGAATGGCATCCTGACGACGTATTCCAGCCGCTTCCCGCTCTGTATTGACCCGCAGCAGCAGGCATTGCATTGGATTAAGAAGAAAGAAGAAAAGAATGATCTGAGGGTAAAGAATGGAAGATTGCTTTATCTCATTACTGATTGTTTTCAAAGCTGCATAAATATCTGTCACCTTGAATAGGGAACCAGTTATATATTACAGAATTATTGAATTGTTTGGATTGGGAAGGACCTTCTAGTTCCACCTCCTCTCATGGGCAGGGACACCTTCCACTATCCCAGGGTGCTCCAAGCCCTGTCCAACCTGGCCTTGGACACTGCCAGGGATGGGGCAGCCACAGCTGCTCTGGGAACCTGTGCCAGGGCCTCAGCACCCTCACAGTGAAGGATTCCTTCCTAATATCTGGTTTAACCCTGGCCTCTTACAGTTTGAAGCCATTCCCCCTTGTCCTATAGCTAAATGTGCTTGTCAGAAGTCCCTCTCCAGTTCTCTTGGAGCCTCTTTAGATTTTGGAAGGTGCTATAAAGTCTCTTCTCCAAATGGATCCTTCTCTTCTCCAGGATGGACAACCCCAGCTCTCTCAGTCTGTCTGCACATGCAGAAAGGGTCTAACCAAAAGGCTGGTGTAGATTTTGATTTATCTTAGCTCTAGGGTGGAATTTCCATGCAGGACAATAAACACACTTAGAGGCACAGCTGGAGCTTTAAAGGGTCATTTCCAAATGGAAATTATTCTCAGCTAATTAGAAAAAAAACCACCTTTACTGCTTTGTGCAAGTGCAGTTGATATCATCTCTGAGAGGAAAAACAAAAAGCAGCAAAGAACAAACTTCATTAGTGTTGGCAGCTACTGCAAAATAATAAAGTTCAGCAATATGAATATCAGTTCACCTTTCATGTTTTCCCATTGTTCTCTTGCAGATGGCTTCCTTTAATGACCCAGATTTCCTGAAACAACTAGAACAGGCTATAAAGTATGGAACCCCTTTCCTGGTGCACAGTGTTGATGAATACATCGACCCTGTGATAGACAATGTCTTAGAGAAGAATGTCAAAGTTTCACAGGGGCGAGCATTCATTGTCCTGGGGGACAAAGAGATTGACTATGACAGTAACTTTAAAATGTACCTGAACACCAAGTTAGCAAACCCAAAGTATTCTCCCTCTGTGTTTGGCAGAGCTATTGTTATCAATTATACAGGTAAGCTCAAGTGTGTAGTTAATAACAAAGTAGGGATTATGCTGTTGTGAAAATTTAGGGCCTGGGTCATTGTCTGAAACCTTGGAGAAACTAAAAAAATCATACTCTCCCTTATGGTCAGCATTTGATTTAACAGAAAGTCTTTCTCACTTCTCTCTTCTTATCTGTAACTGAGCTAAATATCTCTTCCTGTACTGGTCAGGTGAGGATGCTTTGGTAGAATTAAGATACACAGTCATTAAGCAGGTCACTCTGCTGCATTGCTGTAGTTTAATGAGAGACTCAAGATTAAATAAGTTGTATAAAAACTGTCCTGTGTTTACAAAACTCTGTCCTCTGTCCATGTGTTGTGCCTGTAGTTACACTCAAGGGCCTAGAGGATCAGCTGCTCAGTGTCATTACGGGTTTTGAAAGGAGAGAATTGGAAGAACAGAGAGAACGTCTCATCCAGGAGACAAGTGAAAACAAAAACCTGCTGAAAAATCTGGAAGACACTCTCCTTCATGGACTGTCAACTTCCACAGGAAACATGTTGGACAATGTGGAATTGGTGGAAACCTTGGAAGAGACAAAATTCAAAGCTACTGAGGTACCAGCTCTGGGCCATTTGGAAGGGTATCTATGAAAGGATGTCTTCAGAGAAGTCCTTAACAGGACCAAAGTAATGTTTGTTTACAGTTCTAAAGCAAAATAATCCATCCTTGGAGTTTTCAGGCCACAGCTGGACAAAGCCACACTGGACCTGATCTAGTGGTGGTCATAATCAAGCTTTGGGCAGAAGTTGAACTAAAGATCCCCAGAGGGCCTTTCCCACCCTATTTCCATGATTTTTTTGTAAATCTTTGCCTTTACTTTTTATAAATATAAAA